CTAAGTTTAAAACGAAAGCAGTAAAATGTGTATTAGGTATAGGTAAACTGGCAAAAGGGTCAGTGATCCAGAAAAGAGCTAAAGGACAAAGAATATTAGGATAAATTTTAGAAAGAACAACTGTGGCTTTAAGAATAGCAGGTTTGGCTCGGTGCCTATAGCTCAACCGGCTAAGGCGCCAGCCACGTACACCTAAGGTGGTGGGTTCGAATCCCCAGCCCGGACCCACCAAACAACAATGACGGCTGCAAACAAAAAATAGCCGGGCGTTGTGGCGGGCGCCTATGGTCCCAGCTACTTGGGAGGCTGAGGCAGGAGACTCGCTTGAGCCCAAGAGTTTGAGGTTGCTGTGAGCTGTAATGCCATGGCACTCTGCCCAGGGGGACAGCTTGAGGCTCTGTCACAAAAAAAAAAAAAAAGAATAGTAGGTTTATGTTAATTTAAGAACTCTTGGTCATAGCTGGCATTGTGTTTTCACTTACCATCCATACCCCAAACCAAAAACTAGTAAAGTAATATCTGTAAATTTTTCTATCTTTCAAATGTATTTTAACATTTTAAAAACCAAAAAATACATGGTTTTAAGTTTTTTTCCAAATATGCTATCAGGCCTTAGTTCACAAATTATAGATGAACACTCAGTAAACATGCAAAAAAATAAAATACATTATTCTCTTCCCCTGGGGAGTTGTAGACAGAGATGATGTCAGTGATTCTTGACTGTAAACTCCACTTTCACTGTAAGAGCTGATGTTTGGAGATGAAGACCGAGATGGGGAATCCATAGTTAAGTCAAGCTTCATTGCAGAATCAGGGCTTTCAAGATCAGAAGTACTGCCACTGAGTTTAGCTCTTTTCTTAGCTGCACTGTTACGAAGAGACCTAAGAGAGCTCTGCATCTAAGAAAAAATGAAAATAATTAATTTTATGACAAACATTCTTTACATTAGTAAAAGTTACCCTTAGATTTTGAATTCCATTAACTATGCCTAACAGTATCCTCCTGTATTGACTAATAATTGTATAAAAGAAAGTCACTCCCTAACCCTGTATTAACAAGATGAATGCTAATATATATGTACACAGTACAAATGCACAGATTTTATCACCAGGATATTAATAAAGAACATACTAGATTGTAAGCTCCTTGGGAAGAAAACAATCTCAGCTACTTTCATATATCATCAAGGCTGTCAGATTTGAACCTGGCCTGGGCCAGCTAAAATAACGACAACCGCAACAAAAAATTGCCAGGTTCGAATCCAACAGCCTTGAAGTATGTGGCTGGTGCTGTAACCACTGTGCTACGGGCCAAGCCCTGGCTGGTTTTTCTGTTGTTGCAGTTGTCATTGTTGTTTGCCTGGCCTCAGCTAGGTTTGAATATGCCAGCCTCAGTGTATGTGGCCAGTGCCCTATCAACTGAGCTAAGGGCGTCTGTCACCTATTAGTTACACTTTTCATTTAAAAAGGAATAACGTATGAATAGAAAAACTACTAGAAATAGCTGGGTGTTGTGGTGGGTGCCTGTAGTCCCAGCTACTCAGGAGGCTGAGGCAAAAGAATTGCTTAAGCCGGCTCGGCGCCTGTGGCTCAAGCGGCTAAGGCGCCAGCCACATACACTTAAGGTGGCGGGTTC